TAATCCTTGTTCTGCTCTCTAGAGCTGAGAAGACCAAACTGAATTTCTCATCCACATCACAGAACTTTAAATTCTTGAAGGGAGCAGCCATGTTCTTGGGAAGTCCTCTTTTTCTCCAGGCTAAACCTCTCCAGTCTTTTTAGTCAGTTGATCCTCTAACAGCCTGTGGCTCTCACACCATCCTTGGTGTGTGTCCTCTCCTAAATGTGTTCCAAATCACTTAACACAGTACCTGACAAACAATAGATACTTAATTAATGTCTGTGGACCCGGCTTCTGAGAGTGTTGAGAAGCACCTTGGTTCAAATGAATAGGACACTTGCCCTTGAGTCATGATGACCTGGAATCTAATCCATTCTTAGATAATTATTAGTTATGTGTTCTTGGACAGTTCACTCCAACCCTCTGACTCCATATTGACCTCTGTTTCCTCATTGATAAAATGTGGAAAATAATAATACCCATCTCACAAGGGTGTTGTGAGGATCGAATTAGATTATGCATGTAAAATCCTTTGGAAACCTTCAGACACTCAATTGACTATTATTATTATTAACAATTTTTCTATCTGTCAGTATCTTTCCTAAAATGTGTTTAGAACTGAACAAACTATTTAAGATGTCTTTTTTTTTTTTAGGCAGTTGGGGCTAAGTGACTTGTCCAGGGACACACAGCTAGTAAGTGTCAAGTGTTTGGTCTGAGGTCAGATTTGAATTCAGGTCCTCCTGACTTCAGGGCTGGTGCTGTATCCACTGTGCCACCTAACTGCCTCATCCCCAGCTGTTTTTCACTTGAGCTGTTCTTCAGATCTACCTTGCTCTTCCTAAATTTTTAATGTTGATATTTTTTTAAACCAAGTATAGAACTTTACATTTATCCTTCATAATTTCCATCTCATTAAATTCTGTTTCTCATTCTAGCCTTTAGAGATCTTTTTGGATGGCCTCATCTATCATGACAGCTCTCTTTTCCCACTTCATAACATTTGCAGATTTGGCAAGAATGTCTTCCATGTCTTCATCCAAGTCAGTGATAAAAATGTGAAACAGCACGGGGCCAAAACTAGATCTCTGGGATATTTCACTAGAGACATCCTTCCAACATGACAGTGAAGCCAGTGGCTACTCTTTGGGTCTTGTCATTCTCCCATTTACTAATCTACCTGGTGGTATTGGGGTCTATTCCACATTTCTCCACCTTGTTAACAAAGATAGAATGAGGCAGTCTGTTAAATGGTTTGTGGAAGTCCAGGTATAATATATATTCAGCAGTTTTTAGATTTGACCAGTCTGGTTGCTTTGGTTAAACAACTTTGTTTGGCAAGACCTATTCCTGATAAAGTCATGCTGACTTTTAATGATTGCAATTTCCCTTTTGAAATGTTCACAAATCATACTTTTAATGTGTTATATACATTTTCTAGAAGCAGAAATAAAACTCTCTAGCACATCGGTGGCAGACTTACTATCTATATGGAAAATCAGGAAATTTGTCCCTAAATTTTGGAATCTAGCACCTGTTATTTATGATATTCCAAAGTTTCCTAACCCCAGATCAATAGTCATATCTTTCTGAATATTGGGCTGTAATGGACCCAGGGACTGGGGACTGGAACTCTTTGGAAAATCTAGGTGTTCTCTGAACATGTCTCATCTCTGGTTTTGACTCCCTGTTAACTCTTCATTCAAAAGATGGTAATTCTCTTTAGAATTGAAAACAGAGGAAAATAATCACTGTTGTTCATTAGCAAAACCCCACCCAGTCTGTTCTTTATCTGTAAAATGAACTGGAGAAAGAAATGGCAAACCATTCTAGTATCTTTGTCAAGAAAACCCTAAATGAGGTCACGAAGAGTAGGACGCGACTGAAACAACTGAACGACAAAACACCCCTCAAAGCCGGGGTCCTAGTGCTTCCGTGGTTCTTATTTTGGTCTCTGTCCACTTCCCCAGTTACTAGAAAGCAAAATCCTTTCATTGACCGGAAGGCTGTTCTCCAGTCTCCCTTCATAGTCCCTACTCTCTTCCCTAGAGGACTCTGGTTCTTTTTTCGTTCACCCCAGATTCTATGCCTTTGTTTCTGCATTCTTTGCACATATATAATCCTTTGTCGAAGAGCTCTGTCAGCAACCACATTTGGCCCTTCAGAAGACCTTCCTTTTCAGGCTGATGTCACAGCTTTTTCTTTCATGCCCTCTAGGTTCTAGTCAAACTGGCTTATTTGCCGTTCTTGATACAAAACTTTCTACTCCCTGCTTCTGTTTGCATAGACTGTCCCCCGTTTCAGGAACGCCTTATCTCATTATTTCTATTAAAATCCTTTGCTTCCTTTGATGTTTAGCTCAAACACCTTCTCCTTGTTGTACGGTGTCAGGCACATAATAGGTACTTAATAAATCCTTTGTTTGATTGGTCATTGAAGGAAGTCTTATTAATATTAACGTCTTATTAATTCTGATTTTAACCCAGACCAAATTCCAGCAGAAGCTTAGTTAGTCTGTCTGCTGTCAGTTTCATGACTGGATCTACATCACACCTCTGATCCAGGCTTGGAAGCTATTTCCAGATCTCCACCCATACTCTCTTCTCTGCATCGTCTCCATTCTTAGAGCATCAGGAACATCTAATCAGGACTTCTTATTGAAGTTTGCCTTTTCTATAAGCCTATTAGACGCCATCTAGAGCCATATCAACGGACTTGACTTTCAAACTGTTCCAGAGCCAAATTCTAAACATGCCTTCTACAGTTTGGTTATGTGTTGGAAATATATGTGGAAAAGACTTTGTTGCATATATACAGGTGGTTTTTAAACACAGACTTAGGAACTATATCCCAAATTGTAAAATTTTTGACATAAGTAGTGCCAGGCAGTATGATCTAGATAGTGAGTGAAGTACTGGAATTTGGAGTCAGGAACACCCCCATTCACATCCTGACTCTGGTGCTTGTGAGACGGCGCTCTTAAAGGGAAAGAACCTTGCCGGTGGCTCAGAGGACCTAGCTTTGAATCTTGTTTCTGATGTGTGCTGCCTGTGTGACCTGGGAGAGTTGTGGAACCTCCTTGGGCCTCAGTTTCCTCATCTTTAAAAGGAGGAAGATTGGGCCAACTGGCCTCTCAAGTCTCTTCCAGCGTTAGACCCCGGCTCTTTGGATCCTTAATTAAATTACTTAAATTCTCTGTGACTTAGCTTCTCTGCTGGGAAATGCAGAAAACGAAACCCATTTGAGTCACTACCTCAGCAGGGTGTTTGTCGTGCGGCTCGAATGAAGCGACGTCCTCAGAGCATCCGCTCTGCTAACTATAAAATGGCACATAATGTCG